TGCTACACTACAGAGCAATAGGGTCCTCCTCAGTAACAGGCCACCAGAAGTGATAAATACATGAAGGTCTCCCCAGTCCTCTTTGGTTATTTTGAAATAGTGCCTTAAAGAATTAGTTCACTTTGAGACAAAAAGCTGCATCCACAGGAATGACTGCTACTTCAGTCAGCGTAGCTGACTTGGAAGTTTAATGTTGTAAAAGCAGCTGAAATCTTCCTTTATCACATTTTCATTCAGCCAACTGTTGTTTGCATCCTGGCTTCCCTCTTCTCCTTCAGCAGTTTCATGCTTGGCTTTCTTTACTGAGAACAAGGACAGCACCCCTGAAGCCCCTGAGGGAGCAGTGATCTGGTAAAAATCCTCTTCTTTATGGACAAAAAATCTGTTTAATCAGTCAGCCATGTTAAGAACATAGGTAGTTATAAAACACCATTCTGTTCAAAGGGACTATGATTTTTACCCTTAATATTTGCTTTTAAAATTCCTGAGGATGAGAATGGAGGGCAGATGACACAGCTTTAATCAACAGCATTAATCAACCTTTATGTCTCCAGATCAAGGAGCAATGCTTGGAATAACCTATTAATAATTTGTGGTCTTTGTGGCTGAAATTATGTCAAACTCAAAATTTTGTCCTTCAGCTTCCTGTGGCTGAAATACTCTTCCACTCAGCTCTGTAATTGTGTCTGTCATTGCCTTTTCCTGGTAAATTCCTGTAATTAGTTTTGGGAGTAGGTCTCCAAAGTGCTACCCTTTAGTTCTCCATTTCAGGGGAGCTTAAAAGAAACTGTTCTGTCCCTGGAGTTGTCCCTGGAGCCAGCCAGGCTTCTGTGTTTTGGTTTGGTTTGTTTGTTTTGTTTTTAAAAGCAAGGAAATAAATTCATTGTTGCATATTATGTTCCAGATCATACCACGAACTTTTTATGAAAGCTTAAAATTACGAAGTGTTGCAAGTTAATACAGTGTGAAGATTTGTGGAATTTTAATAGATAAAAATAATAGACTATTTTAATTGAAAATTATTTTGTTCTTTCAGTAAGAACAGTCTCTGTTTTGTTCAGTAGCACCTCCTGGAATGCTTTTGATCCCTCTACAAATATTATTACCTTTATAAACTCATGTCACTAAGGCTATGAGAATTGGGATTGTTCAGCCTGGAAAAGAGAAGGCTTTGGAGTGACCTACTTGTGGCCTTCCAGTACCTGAAGGGAGCCTACAGGAAAGATAGAGACTATTATAACAGCATGTTACAATTTTCCTCATGATGTGCATTTAAGATTTATTTGTGTGCTAAACTTTCAGCCTTCATGAAGAACTGTTTGGTTATGGGTTGGTTTTTTTCTCAGTGCACTGCATGGATGGGATTTTATTCCTTTCGAAGAGATAGATTCAACACTTGTTTAAATCTTCTCTCCATCTGTGCTCAGTCTATGATCCTTGGATTTTTATTTTTTTTAAACTTAACTCAGAGGATGGAAAAATTTTGTATTCATACAATATTTCAGTAAGACTTAGGAATAACTGTGGTGTGTAATTTCTGAACTTTCAAACACTGCTTCCTCTTCCCAACAACTGTGAAATACAAAGGAAATTATTTGCATATAAAGAATCTGATCATCCAAACATCATGCTTCTAATGAAACATAAATCAGCTACAAAGAGCTTACTTAGTTTTTCCTAAAGGAAACAAATCAGTCTGAGTTATTTTTCTATGTAATTAAAAATGTTTGCTTTTTTTAAGTAGAGAGATCAGAGTTGTTCAAAGCGGTTAAGATTAGAGCAACATCAGCAGTTTTTCTGTTTGCTTTACTTTTATTCGTTCTGGCATCAGAGCTAATTTCTAATCAAGTAAATGTGTTTGAAAGTATGATTCAGGGGAGATGATACATTTCTCCATGCTAACTGTGTAAGGCTGGCTTAATAAAAAGGATATTGCACACAATGACATTTTTCTAGTGGGTATAATTATCTCTGCAGCAAGCAAGTGAATGATGTATTTCAGGATGTGTGTTTGGATGATGACAGGCAGATTGGGCACAATAATAAGCCAGGCTGTTCACGAGCAAGCCTCTTTTTCTGGTATATCAGAGGCCTGTGATGACAGTAGAAGTTGCCTTCTGGTGGCTTTTACTTCTCCTTTTAAAATATCTCATACTTTAAGCAGATACTCCTTTGGCAGAATCAAGAATAGGGGCCCCTCATCCCACTTCTGCCTCATTTGCCAATGTCATCTTTCCTGATAGAGTCCCAAGAAGCAGAATATTCATGTACAGAAATCCAGACTGCCCGTTCTCTTGTAATATCCAAAGAACACGTTATTATTTGGGATTGATTCAGTCCAAGATTGGTACAGAGCCTACTGAAGCCACTGGGAGTCTGTGCTTGCCAAAATCTACCACTCAGTTCAGTGTGTCTTGGAGCAAGCCCTTCATGGGCACAGAACCCCCTGGGAAATGGAAAGCAAAACTGATTAAACAACAGCTAAACACAACCAGCCTTCTGGACCTCCCTCCACAAAAGGCTTTAGAGCTCTGCCCCAAAAAGCAGGAACATGGGAGACGAAGGTCTTTACTTTTAATCTCATAAGGCTCAGATCAATAACAATTAGCTCCTGCCTCTGCTTCTGTGGCCCTCCTGCACATCACAGCTGCAGCAGCCAGACCTTGTTGCCTAGAAAAAATTAGACAATTATCTCTGGGAATTTATTTCCCAGCAAGAATATTCACTTCTCACTTCTCCCCAGTACTTCATCACCAAGATGCACAGCTGTTGAAGGACTATCCAGATCTCAGTCCAACCTACTGTCATGTTCAATAGTTCATCACTGCAAGATTTTCATGAATGCATGTTTTCCAGATATATCTCCAGTCTGTGTTTCCTCTGGTAATCCCTGCCTGGAATCACAACTTAAGAAACATATAGCGAAAAGACATTTTTGCAGAAGGAAAAGTTGTCTTTTGGATTCTGAAGATAGCTGTTTGTCTGGAGGTTTTCACTGCAGTCCTTCCAGCACAGTTGTCTCAGAAAACAAACAATACCTGAGCAGTGGGGGATGCAGGAATTAAGTATTTTTGTAGGTTTCACTACCACTGATTTGTACTGTGACACTTGGATCATCACAAGTTTGCCATCTGTAATGGGCACCATTTTGGCAAAATGTGTCTTTTTTTAAAGGAAGGAATAAATAGTGATGAAATGAGAACCTGATGATCTGCTCAGTTTTCCATCTGCATTTTCTTCTAGAAATATTGAACTTATCTGTTCTTCAGCTTCCTCATTTCACAGAATCTCATCTTTCAACAGCCATTTCCATCCAGAATTACTAGTGTTTCATGTACCATCTAGGGTGCTTTGCCTAATGTTTTCAAAACCAGCTGCAAAGTATAAATCTCTGGCACCTCATATTTTTAAATCACTGTATCTGCTTCCCTACCAGTTGTACAAAGCGTTTGAAAAAACCCAGCATTTTCTCTATGGTGGAAAAACATTTTAGTCTCTGCTGAAATCCTCCAGGTTTGTTGATGTTCTGCTCAGCCTTACTGTCTTTTACTATCCTGTGTGATACTTGGATGACAGCCAGGCACATATAAATTGCTCCCACTCATGCTCTCTCTGGCAGTTTTATGTGCCTTTCACTACTTTCTAGCAGATATTTTAGGCAACAATTTATTCCTAACACTTTTTTTTTGTTTGTTTTTTTCTACTTGCTTTCTTTTCCCTTTCTAAAAAGTATTACATTTTTGCCTAGAATTTACTCAGTGTTTTAGAATCCCTCTGGATCAATGGGTCAGAGACTTTAATGACAAAATTGAGGCTTTCTTATTATGCTTGAAGAAGGGAGTAGAAAGCCATAAGGCAGAGTGTTACTGCCTAATTTCAATGCTTTTACCATGCCAAGGGTCAGAGAGTGGTCAGGACTTTGAAGCTGGAAGTGCCCATCTTCCCCTTGGAATATCTTGCTCAGTACTTAGGATTCAGGGCAGAGAGGATGCTCCCAATGCCAGATAAAAGGGGTGATATTGGGTACTTCTTGACTGGGAGATGCAAGAAACCAGACGCTGGATCTGTGGTGCTCCTAGAAACACCTTATTCTGTTTTCCTCTGAGTACCACAAATATATGCCAAAATACATCCATAACATAACCTCTCTTAGGTATCAGCATTTTCTCCTAAACATTAGAAGAAAGAGCAGAAAAAAGGGGAGAAAAAGAGAAATTAAATAATTTAAGGAGCCTCTATCTAGAGAAGAAAATGAGCATTATGGATACAGGCTGAACCCCTGGTGTGCCCCAGTCAAGAAATTAATTTTTATTTCTTATAATTAATTAATAAGATTAATAATCTTGTAATCCTTAGCTTCTGTCTTGCTGAGGATCATGTGACTCAGATAGCAGTCCTAGGGAATGCTGTGCCCACTGCGTTTTGAGAGCATAAAACTGACTCCCAGCTGCTATTCATCATAGCAGCAAAAAATACCTATGGACATTTTCTGGCCTGTTGTTAATTGAGCACAAATTGAGCAAAGAGCATCACTCAGTCCCAGCTTAAGAATTGATTAGATCACTGCAAGTCAAGTAGTTATTTACTAGAGCATATTGGTATTATTAGGGCATAGAAGCATGCTAGAAGTTTGTAATTAAAAAAAAAAAAAATGGACAAAATAGTAACCAAAAAAAAAAACCCCAAAAAGAAACCAAAAAACCAGAATTCAGTTCTGGGACTTAGTTCTCCATTCCAGCAGATCTCTTTAAAATCCCATTTGTCATGTTCACTCAGATATAAAATGAGTGTCAAAGCACACACCAGAAGTGAGTATTAACAAGCTTGTCCCCATCCAACCCTGACCTATAACATGAAAATATCTGATGATCTGTTTGATGAACTGTGGATCTGTGGTATCTTCACAGAGGTTGTTGTGATCCTAAGTAATGTCACACGTATATCACCCGGTTTGTTGCAATTTTCTTGCGTGCTGCTACTGAACAACTTTGCCCTTGTAGGTCACACAAATGGACCAGAAGCTGAACCTCATCACGGACATGCTGCATCATCTGGTTTCCCATCAGCAGGGGGATCAGGGCAACAACAGATCACCTCAGAGAGGCAACAACAACGCCAGTTCAGAGCTTTTCCTCCCTAACAACACCCTGCCCACCTACGAGCAGCTGACAGTACCGGGAGGGAACGAAGACGACATATCCTGATGTGGTGCAAGTCTGGGTTGGGCTGATCCTACTTTTCTCCTCTGAACGGGACTGAGTGTTGAGAACCTGGGAAAAATGAAGTTCATCAGCCAACCAAGAAATCATGCAACTGCTATATCTACACCACTAGTCTCCAACATGCTCTTCCAAAGTTACCCACAGTAGCCAAAGGATTGCCAGGCTTTCTTCCACCAGGCAAAACTTCCAGAACTTCACGCTGATTTTGTTCCTGAGCAAATGATCACAACTTGCCGTTTCTCAAAAAGACCAAAATGATGTAAAGACAAGCAAAATGGCAAGGATTTAGAGCTCCTGTAATAATAATAATAATAATAATAATAGTAATAATAATATTCTAATAATACTTGAACTTAGATGGAAAAAAATGCATTCTGTTTAAGAATCTGCAGATAGCAATTTATTTCTACTACTAAGGTTTTTAAAACAAACTAGGATAACTTATGTTGTTTTTGTTGTATAAACATACACTAACATTCTAGACAATAACAAACCATGTACTGAATGATTTTCTTTTTCTGTTTTATTTTAGTGTTACTACATAAACAATTATCAGATAATGACCAGATTTTTCAAATCTGTTTTTCTTCAGGGAGGAACTAATCCTTAATCTGGAACAATACTATTTATAGTGGAAAGTGCTATAGATTTTCAAAGATACCAGTTTTTCATGGGGAGACAATAAAGTATTATATAGCAAAAAATCATTCTGGTTTCTAGAAGACTGTTGCCAAAGAATCTATATATAAATAGAAAATGCAGTGGTCTGAATGTACTTGTCCTGAGCATTTTAAAAGGAAGGCATTCTACTTCTTAAATATGCTGGGTTTTAGCTTACAAATACCAAGAATAATACAAGAGGCTGAAGTGGCTGGACTTCACTGGTCAAGTGTTTGAGCTGGCCACTCACAGAACATCCATAATCCGTGCAGGAATTGAGGCTTCAGTTCAGGAAAGCATCTCTAATCCACGCAGCACATATGACAATTTTAATGTTTTCATGAATAATCTCTTGAGAAACTCATCTCCCTACAAGATTCAGTTGGTATTGACAAGTGCCAGCTCTTTATTTAAAGACTTGAGGGCCTCAGCTACAACCCATGAGGCTGAACCACACTTGCCCACATGATGACTGCAATGAAACCAACAGCGTTGGCTCAGTGTGAGTCCTCACACACACCACGTGAGCAGGAGCTGGGCTTTGATTACTAAGGCTGAAATTACTAAACCCTTGCAGGGACTTAGCACCTGAATCATATCAGTCTTTAAAGCTGACAGCCTCAGGAAAAGCTCTTTGGTCCAACGTGGTGGTGGTCCAATGTGGCTCAAACTGCTGGGGAAAGGAAAGATGTAGACACATTTATCAGCTCTTGCACTTTGAGCATCCTACACATCCAGTGCACCCTGTTCCCCTCACTGCAGAGCCTGTAGCCCACAGTGGTCTCCCTCTCCTGGGGGATGCCCTAAAGCCTCATACCTTGGCACAGCAGTTAGTGTTGCCAGTCTTGTGACCAATATTACCAATCTGAAATACTGATGCATAATGAATGAGATCACAGGGAACTTTCTCATAGGGAACTCTCACATTCTGAGTTTCTTTCCAACATTTTGTCTCTTTCACTTGGACTGCAGAGAAAGTCCTGTATTAAATATTCTGTATTTCCAGATTCTGATACAGTTATCCAGCCTCTCTGTTGTACAATACATAAATGTTAAGGCTGTAGAAATTTACAGGCATAAAGAAAAATTGTATCAGGGCATTATGTTTTCATAGAAATCAAAATTATTCTATGATTTTAAATATTTTTAAAATGAGATTCACTATGTAATTTCAGGTTATCTATTAGCCTGTTAATTTCCTAATAAAATACAGGACAAGAGTGCCATGTCTTTTGGTTATTCTAAAATCCAGACGCTTGATATACACAAGAAAGTGGATGGCTTTTCTTCTCCTTTCTCTCTTAGCCCACTCTACAGTGTAAATATGCCTTATTTGCAATGCATGACTGTAAGCCTTCTGCTGATTCTTCACTAGAGAAATAAAGAAGATTAACTTTATCAGCTGGGATGACTGGAGAGAAAGGTGTGTCATGTAGCCCCCTGGCTGAAAGCAGACAGGTCTGTGTGTTTCTAGGGGCATTGTTTTAAACAGAAAGTATGTCCATTCCTGCCTGTTTTTCCCAAGACCATACCTCCATTCTCTGTTTGACACCTAATCTTGGTGATAACAGTCTGGCACAGCAAACACTTCATGCAAAACATAATTTCCCTTTCTTGTCAGTTGGTCTATAACCATCTGAAAGTCTCCATTGGAACCAGATTCATTGGAATCACCAGATTTTGCAGTATTTTGAGGCTGGTGGCCAGTTGTGAGGTCAGTGATTCCTCACCTGAGTCCAGCTGATCCTTTCAGAAAGTACAAAGCTCTGAGATCTACTACTTCAAGCCTTACAATCCACCTCACCCTAAGGAAAAGTGGACAATCCATTTTCCCTACTGAAGAGAGATGTTATAAAATGAGCCATCCAAATTTGCTGTGCAGCTGCCTGGAGCCAGCCATCCCCAAGGGCTCACCAGAGACAGATCTGGCCTCTGCTTAGAGGACTGACTGGAATCATCTGTCCTGCTGGGGCTTCATATCTCAATGACTTCTCCTCAAGCAGGTGCCTCAGCATCTTTCTGGCACAGAGCAGCAGGGGGAAGATGAGCTGAGCAGTCCAACACTGGAGCAGCCTGCAGTAACCAGCGTGCAGTGAGTATGTGTTCCTGCTGAAACCTTTCCTACTGGTGTCTCCTGTTCAGCCAAACTGTCCAGAGTGGGGTTTCTTTAAGTGGGTAGGAAATGTTTGTAAGTATCTTGAAGGGGAGGAAAGGAAACTGTAAGGTAAACCAAATATTGACTTTTTAACTTCATGCCCCATTTTTGTGAGCCGTGTTAAAATAAATTAATCTGAAGCTGCAAAAGAAGCCTCTTAGAGCAGCTCAGTAGCAGTTTGCATTTCAAGACTGCTGTAAGCTAGGCCTAGACCCTCATCCCTGCTGAAAAAAAAATAAAGGTCAGTTAAAAAATAGTCATCTAAAAAAATAAGCTAAGCTGGCTTAGCTTCCCCAGCCTAGCAGGGGGATGCCAAATGGATGCCAGATCTGGAAGGTAGGAAGCCAAGGAATAGGGGAAGAGGCAAAACATGGGGCTGCCCAACATAAGGTCACCACCTTGAAAGAAAAAGCTTACCCTGCAGCAGAGGCAGACGATGTACAAGTCTGCAAAAAGGAAGATCCATGGGAGGTGGAGAGGATTTGTGCAGGGGAGGAGTTTTAGTCCATGAGCAAAAGTCTAGGTTCCTGGTGAGGGAACTGTATTGGGATTCAAAAGACAGAAGCACTGCCTGGCATCAGCATTAATCTGTAGTGTGACCTCAGGGCGAGTCATTTCACCTGCCTGGCCACATCTGCCACCCCCTCTCCTGCACTCAGCCCACTTGTTTGTTTAGACCACAAATTCCTCAGGAAGGGAGGGCCCCTTTCTGTGTGTTTGCTCAGTGCTTACACAAAGGGACCTGCCCTCTGGGGACTGGAGGTACCACTCTCAGATAAATAATCACCCACCCTGGAGTCCTGCTAAAGGCAAACCCTTAATTATTCCGAGCCCAAGGAGTTTCAGCTGAAAGTGCCTGCTGCCAAACCAACAGAGTTAGAGGAGGCTGAGTTTTAGGTCCCCTTCAACATAGCATATTACAAAAGGAGATCAGGAGCCTGGCCATCAATCACTTTCACTCTTCTGCTTTAAAGCAAGTTCATTTCAAATAACACAATGGGCTACTGCTATGATCAAATACTAACTAAGGCAGAAATCTTTGGATGTCAGTGGATTAAACAGACATTTTACTACTGCAAATTAAGGTTTGTTTTTGCTAGCAGATAGCTCTGGGCTGATTTAGCACCCATCAGTTCTGAGGAAACTGGAAATATTCCAGACTGGTGAACTGGGCAAGAAATAAGCTGCTTTTTTGAAAAATTAAAAAGTAAAACACAGGAAGATCTTCTTTTCTGGGAATTTAAAGGAGAGAAAGTTAAAATAGTTTTAAGCTAATCCTCATGTACCCTGCTGAGATGGGTTTTACTGCTGGGGTGGTGGTTTGGGAAGAGGAGAGGCATTAAGAAGAAAAAAGGAAAAAGATTGAAGGTATGATGCAGCTCACATGAAAATGTATGTGTGCACTTGATTTATGTTGGCTTGGAGTTGGGTATTGCCTGCAGTGGGACTGCTCAGTCCACACAGGTCAGTGTAAGCCTCTGGAAGTTGAAAATGTGTAGTAAAGATGCCTTTCCATGGCCTTTCAGTGGAAGCTGGGCTGAGTCCTGTAGACAGCATTGCTTTCTTCATGGTCACAGAGCCACTGAACCATGTGAATTCACAAGTTTCTGCTTCCCATTTCTGTTTTCACATTATTGGTTTCTAATATTCCTGCATGCCACTTGTGTTTTCAAGCCACAACAATTAGAGGTATTTCCTTCCACTTCAGTGATATGAATCCCACTGCACACACACAACACAGAGCAGCCTTTAAAATGACCTCCATTCCATTTAAAATAGCTTCTGTAATGTTTTGCATCTTGGGTGTCCTGAGCAGCAGCTGCAGCTGTGATGAAGGCAGCAGGTTGTTATGCCAGTACGATGTGGAGGTGACACTTAGCTACATCCCAAGATGGAGCTATGAAATTGCCAGAAGGTGTAGGGTTTAGGTTGAAACCAGCAAGGCTTTCTCTGAACTCTGGCTTTTTTGGTCTTGTCTGTGGTCTGACTTTGATGTCTAAGAAGTGTGAATTTCAACTGAAGCTTTTCTTTTGTGGTTGCAGGTTTGTTTTCTGTGTCATTCCCCTAATGCTCAACAAGACGTGGATTCATGATTCACCCTTTCCTCAGTGAGGATGTTGACAACACCAGGACACTCTGTCTTCCACATCAGTGCCTATTTTCACAAAACTTCTGAGAACTCAATTATTTTTTAGACCTCTATCCTTCTGTCAAGTTGAATTGAACAAGGCCAACAGGTTCAGAAGTTATTAGGGGGAGGCAAAACAAACACAGCATGAGTGCATTAACCTTGTTTTCACAGGAACTGGGCTGAAAGTCCTCTCTCTCCCTACCCAAACACAGAGGTCTGGAAGAAAGGTAACCCCTCACTTTGGAGTAGAAGATGACTTCCAACTCCTGGGGTGAGGAGGAGACATGCAGAAGGCATGCTCTTGGGATTTGTTGGCTCCTGCAAGGCTTGATGCATCTTGCCTTTGGATCAGCTATTCAAAGATGCTGGAAAATAGCCTTTTCCTTACATTGCTTCCAATGACAGTGACTTAAAACATCAAAATGCTTGGTGCTGCAACAAAGAGCACGCAGGTGCTGGATGGGGACACTAGGAACCATGCCCACATGTGTTACGGTAACACAGCACGGTGTCCAAAGAGAGATTGTCTGCATGGCTGGCAGGGGAGCACTGCTGGGGAAGGGCTGGCCCAAAAGAGTGGCATTGTCCAAGTTCACGACGCTCCCGCGTGAGCCGGCAACTGCTGCCTCTGGGAGAGACTTCCCGGGGATCTGACATGAGGCATTGTGCTCTCTGCCTGTGGATTTGCACCTAAGAAGAGCTGATCTATAAATCCAGACTTGAAACCCTCGTGGAGCTACATTTGCTTCAGAGCTAGCGTTGCTCTGGCAGGCTGCCCAGGGATTTAGGCTCGGTTAATCCAAGCTTGGCTCTCCGTGGCAGACACCCATGGAACAAAGGGAATAAAGCTTCCACGACCCCATCAAGCTGCTGGTCAATCTCTCAGCCAGGTGCAGAAAGCGGGCTAGGCAGCCCTCAGTGAACTGTCTTGGATCAGAGAGGGCCAAATTCCCAGCAGGGGTGTGCAGACAAATCTATAGAGATTTTCTTGCCGTAATTTCCCAAGTCTGGGAGCCTCACACACCGAGCCCCCAATGTCTGTGCATTTCACACAGTCTTTAAGACCAGCTCTGCTGAAATTCATCACTGCTGCTTTCTGCACAGCCAATCTAACAGGGAAATAAAAAACAAGAATGCAAGGAGAAAAATAAATTGAGTTACCGGTTTTGCTATATGTTATGTCCTTAGGATTATACAGATCATTAATTTTTAAATATCAACATGCTAGAGTTGATACAAGCAGTACCAATGCTGTAAGAGTGATAATCACATGTGAAGGATTAGGGTTACAAGCAGTTTGTGAGATGCTATCACCTGGTCTTTAAGCATTGCCTAATAATTTGTTAGTCACCTAATTGGATTTTTAACTGGGTTGTCTATACATGGAAGCTAAACATAAATGTGATTCAGTTTTTACTCCTTTTGCATCTTTGGCTGTTATGCTGCTTATAAATTTCCTTTGATTATGTCTCTTTTCCTAATTCCTTCTGTTCATTGAAGCGCTGTATGCAGGTTTGATTGCCAGAGGGATTCATGCCCTTCAGATCACTTTTGGGAATGATCAGGTAGGAGTTACCCCCTACCTGGGACTGGTGAGGACTGGTCACAACTGCACCAGGGAGTCTTCTGCAACCCACAACATCTTTTTAATCATGTCTAGTAAAGCTTGAATGACAGAAGATGTGCTTCCCCTGCTGAATCCCTCCTGTGCCTGTGCTGCAGGAGCTGCAGACTCGCAGTCACCACCACGTGTGCTCACTTGCAGCCATTATGGAGCAGATTTGAAATAGTGCCTTTGCTTAAATG